GAAGAAAAGGCTCTATTATACCACAAAAAAGGGGTTTCATCCTCCTGGCAACTGTCCACTTTACAATGTCCCTTGGTGCAAAGAGAACTGGCAAGGTGTCAAACCAATAGTAAAGAAAGTCATGCTGTGGTCCTGGTTTGACTTTATGGGACATCCTGTTCTGTTCTTAAATGGCTTCGAGGGAGCAGTGCATTCTCAGCAACTTGGTATTTTCTGCTCACAGCCACCTAAGAACTCGCAAGTCAGGTGCATGCAGGAACCTGGACCTTGAGGAACTGTCAGTGTTAAAGTGCAAACTCTAAGATCACCTAAAGATTTGTAGGCCTAAACTGTCTCTGTATCTCAGCCCCAGCTGGGCCTAATGTGTTCCATACTCAGCCAACTGATCATCAGAAAGCTGGGCTCACTTGAGCTACCATTGTGATCATCTTCCTCCTACAGAAGCGCGGGGAGGTTTGACGGTTCAGGGAAAGCACAATGTTAGTGTCAGTTATATTGGAACTGGGTCTTTTTTTTATAAGAAAGTGAAACAAAGACGCAAACAATATTTCCATGTCTCCCTATCTTCCCACCAGCACTTGCAGTTGAGAGTGGGGGTGTCTTCACTGACCTTCAGCTGCTGATTGGTTCGTTTCAAGAACTGGACCTCCTCACCATGCTTCTTCTCCTCTACCTGCCGCCTTTCAATTTCACGTTTTTCAACAGCTTCACATTTAGCTTTTTGCTCATTCACTTGTCTTTCCAGCTCTCTCTTCTCCTCTTCCAACTCTGCAATCTTTGAAATGAACACAGATCTTGCTTGTGTTGTTACACTTTGGGAGTACATAGTTTCATAGTTAGTAGGGTCGGAAGGGACCTGAGCAGATCAAGTCCGACCCCTTGCCATGGCAGGAAAGAGTACTGGGGTCAAAAGACCCCAGCAAGGTGATTGTCAAGCCTTGTCTTAAAGACCCCCAGGGTAGGAGCCAGCACCACTTCTCTTGGAAGTTGGTTCCAGATCCTAGCCGCCCTGACAGTGAAGTAGCGCCTCCTGATGTCTAATCTGAATTTACCCTCTGCCAGCTTGTGACCATTATTTCTAGTCACTCCTGGCCGTGCTTGGGGAAACAAGGACTCTCCCAATGCCTGCTGGTCCCCCCTGACTAGTTTGTAACAGGCCACTAGGTCCCCCCTCAGCCTTCTCTTGTGGAGGCTGAACAGGTTCAGGTCCC